AAAAATATCATTCTTGTCTATCTTACAGGTATTCTAGACCAAAACATCAGTAACCTTAACTCGAAATTTCTAAAATAGCACTGTGTCGCACAATGAGTGAAACTGGAAAACAGATGTCAGTGCTGTCTCCGCACTGACTCTCGTGGGTTAGAGCAAACACAGTTGGCGTGGTCTTACCACTCTCCCCCTGTCTTTCCTTTCACCTGACCATGCCGGCTGTGGCTGCCTGGACCCGATGACCCAGAAGCTCCCTCCCTGTCCAACTTGGTTCATGTTTGCCCCTCTTTACCTTCTCTGCATCTTGCTCAAACAGCCTCAGCTGGAAGCACTGGTCCAGCTTTAGCTTGCGTACGTGCCACATCTGGTGCAGGTGCTGCCGCGTTGAGTGCAGCCTGTCCAGCGTGGCAGACACCCTGGGCAAGAGGCTTTGCAGGTCCGCGTTGCCTGAGCCCGAGTTCTTCTTGGGAAAACTGTCACTGCTCTGAATCCTCTGAAGCAGCTTCTGTCCCTCCAGATCCAAGTCCTCAATGGGGGCCTTAATCACCTTCTTCTTCAGCTGGGAGTGTTCCTCGATCATGTTCCGAGCTCCCTCCAAATCCTGAGGCAGCTCCTTCTTTGCAAGGATGTCTTGCAGTTCCTCCAGCCGAGACAGCATGTGGGTTGCGTTGCTAATGTAGTCCTCAAAAGCAACTCTGATTTCAATCCATTCTTCATGGTTGTATTCCAGGCAGCCATCAAACTCGGGAGTGAGCTGAGAAGGATCAACTACTTTGGTAAGGCCTTCTAAAGAGACCATATTTGTCTTAAGGGAAAAAAAATCATGTATGAGAAGATGAACCAATTTTATATAGTCTTAATATAATGCAATTTGCAAGGCTTAGTCATAGATTTTCAAAGTTAAAGTAATCTATTTATAGAAAACATAACATACCTGGTTCTGGCCCCATTAAAAAAAATGTAGATGAAAAAAGAGTTATCAGTACAATGAAAGATAAATCCATTAGAACAACACATATATGGTAGCTGGAATACCTAAAATTATAGAATCGTGCGTATTTCATGAGAGCTAAGTTAGATTTCTTTCCAAGAACATGGAGATTAACCCACTATCTTAGGTACACTAAGCCAGGAAATATGTTAAATTGCAAGTACAGAGCAGAAATTTCACTTTCATCGATGTATTCTTCTGCCCATTCTTTCTCATCCACACCATTCTATCATCTCACTCCCAGTAGAAAACTCTGTATAGGCTCCTTACTATGTGCTATCACAGTAACATCTTGCTCATGGGATTCAAAAACCCTTTTAAGTGCCATCT